AGTGGTAGAGTGCTTGCCTTGCATGCATGAGGCCCTGGGTTCAATTCCTCAGCACCACATAAGCAGAAAAAGCCAGAAGTGGCACTGTGTGTGGCTCAAGTGGTAGAGTGCTCACCTTGAGCTGAAGAGCTCAGGGGCAGTGCCCAGGCCCAGAGTTCAAGCCCAGAACTGGCAAAAAAAAAAGAAATCATATTGGTTTTGAAGTTCATAAAAAAATTGGCTGAGAAATTATAAGGGCAACTGTGTTTATAGCAGCTTCCTAGATTCAAGATTGTGTGTGTGTGTGTGTGTGTGTGTGTACCATTTCCATATGATCAACATTTTGCGTTTGCGTGTGTGTGTGGAGGGGCATCAGTAGCATGTCCAATTCCAGAAGACAAAGCTCAGAGTATAGTGCCTTGCTCTGACCACACCTACTTCCTGCCACTAGCAGTTAGTTGGTGCCTAGTGTGAAAAATGCTGAGGGTGTATCTGATGCAGCAACTAGCTCTGGCTGGAGGAGGCAAGGAAAGCTGCCATGAAAGGTTCAAAGCCAGGCCCTATGGTCTGTAAAAGGCTGACTCCTGACCTTTTCTAAAGCTTGGGAGGATCAAGAGAATGACTGGGGAGCCTCAGAAAGAATGGATGCATAGAGGAAGGCAAAAGTAACCAGAATGTTACCTTGGGTAGGCCCAGCTCTGTCCACCAGAGGGCGCCTGACACCAGGCAACGAAGCAGAGGGTGGTGTAGAGAAAGGGGTTCACTGATGGCTGCCCAGCTCCTTGGGAGGGAGGCAGACTCAGAAGGTACAGCTAATTCACCATGCTGGAACCCCAGCTCTCAGAAACAAGCAGAGACAGGCAATGTGAGTGGATTGATGTTTCTGCCCATCCTGATAGCTCAGGTTAATTTCCCTTTATCACTATAAGAAAACCTATTGGGGCTAGGAAGGTGGCTCAGTGGTAGAGCGCATGCCTTGCATGCCAGAGGCCCTGGGTTCGATTCCTCAGCACCACATAAGCAAAAAGAAAAAAGCCGGAGGTGGTGCTGTGGCTCAAGTGGTAGAGTGCTAGCCTTGAGCTGAAGAGCTGAGGGACAGTGCCCAGGCCCAGAGTTCAGGCCCCGTGAAAAAAAGAAAACCTATTGCCGGGCACTGGTGGCTCACGCCTGTAATCCTAGCTACTCAGTAGGCTGAGATCTGAGGATTGTGATTCAAAACCAGCCCTGGCAAGGGAAGTCCATGAGACTCATCTCCAATTAACCACCAGAAAACTGGAAGTGGTGCTGTGGCTCAAGTGGTAGAGCACTCGCCTTGAGCTGAAGAGCGCCAGGGACAGCGACCAGGCCCAGAGTTCAAGCCCTACAACTGACCAAAACAAAAAACAAACAAACAAAAACCCTATTACTAGGCTATTAGGTTTCACCCTTGGTAAAATATACATGGGCTCTACTCACCTTCTAGAAAAACCATTCTCCTGGTTTCCTCTCTCTGGTTGTCTCTCCATGACAAAGAATCAGATGGAAATGTGCCACTAAGTTCTCTAGACTTCATGAATACACTTTCAGTAATAGCCATTTCCCAAATTCTACTCTCAAGTATGTGCCTCACCTTCAGTCTCCTCTCTTCCTGCTCACTCTCCCCCCGCCCTACCCCCAGCACCTCCTCTTAAGGTTTAATATATTTTTCTCTTAGCTCCCACATCTGAGTCAGGGGGTCTCAATGGTTGCTCCTACTGACTTGCTTATCTATAGGGGAACTTCTTACACTGTCTTTCAAGCAGGAAAGACATGTTTCTGTCTCCACTGTAGACATCATTCCTGTTGCCTTCTCTCAGGGCCAAAGGCCATCCTGAGAATGAGGAGCTGACGAGTGAACACTCAGAGCCTGATCTCCCATCCCTCCCATCTCAGGCAGTTCATCTTGCAATTTTTCTCTCCACCCCCAAGTGGTACAGGTTTCTTTTTTCAACTACCACTTTGGTTCAAGTTGGTTTTTTTTTCTCTCTCTTGGTCGTAGGACTTGAGTTCAAGGCTTAAGCACTGTCCCTGAAACTTTCACCTTAAGGCTAGTGCTGTACCACTTTGAGTCACAGTGCCACTTCTGGTTTTCTGGTGACTAATTAGAGATAAGAGTTTCTAGCCGGGCGCTGGTGGCTCATGCCTGTAATCCTAGCTACTCAGGAGGCTGAGATCTGAGGATCGCAGTTCAAAGCCAGCCGGGGCAGGAGAGATCGTGAGACTCCTATCTCCAATAAACTACCAGAAAACCGGAAGTGGCGCTGTAGCTCAAGTGGTAGAGCGCTCGCTTTGA